CATAGTAAAGAGGATCCTAACCTGGATGGAATTAATCAATAAGCTTCAGACCCTACATACAGAGACATCTTAGTGTATTAGTAAGAGAAGCACTGGGTTTGAAGTCACAGGACCTGGTTTTAAAGCCTCATTCTGCTACACAAATTACTTCTTTTCATAATAAGCTTTAATTTCTTCATCGGTAAGACAAGGAGACTAGCATTGAATAAACCCATCTAGAAGTCCTATCTAGATCTAACTTCTATGGTGTTCTGAAAAATAAAAAAATAACTGCAACATCATTTAGAATAATTATTGTAAATACGCTGTAAAAAGATAAATTCTTAACAGAGTATTGCTTGCCTATCAATATTTCCCTGGGTTTTTTTTCCGTCTTTTTACGTAGCACTTTAAAGTTTTTGCAAATTGCTTAACAAATATTATCTCATTTTATCTTCACAGCAACTCTGGAAAGTTGGTGATATTATTATTATCCCCATTTTTACATATGGGAAAATGAGACCGAGAGAAGTTTAATGACTTGCCAAAGATCATGAAGCTAATAAGTGTCTGAGGCAGGATAGAGGTTCAACTGAAATGTTTAATAATTTCTATATGAAAGTGAGAAAACAAAGTTTAAACCAAAAGCGAGACGGTCATTTTTATTGAATGGAAGCCACCTAATCATTCATTCCATCAGAAATTATATTTACTGAATTTTTCAAGGCTTCTAATTTTCTTAAGAGTAGACTGCAAACTGTGGGACTACTAGTTAATTAATAAACATTTCTACTTTAAAAAATTATGAGGACAGAATAGTAATAGGTATAATAGTTAATTTTATATTTCACTGATTTAAAAACAAAACATGCAGGGAGTCATGTGGATGTCTCCCTTGTTTTCCTAAGAGGCCTCATTCTCAGTTCATGAAATGCATGGCCCCTTCCTTAACTAAGAACCAGAATTGTTAATAAGGACTCTAAATTGAAGAAAGGTCTTCAGAGTATCATATAAATACATTTATGTCATCAGCAAACAATATATGTGTGATGCTTATATTTAACTAGAAATGCAATCCTCTTTAAGATACTGCAAAGCACAATCTTGAGCTACTTTACTCAGACTAATAATTACAAGATTAAAAACTTAATAAAATTATGTTCCAATTAAAAGGATGATAATAACTCTTGAGGAAAAAAAGGCATATTTGGTGGCTTTAATTTTAATTATACCAATGTCCTTATATTACCTAGTTTGACCATTTCAATATATGCATCGATGTTAGATACTTACTGACTACCAAAAATATACTGATGGAGGGCAGAACAGGTCTTGACCATTCAGGTGAATTGAACAGGCCTTTATTAAGCACACACAATGTGCAGACACAATTAGACACTGGGGTTTGTACTAGATCATGGATTCTTAACTTATTTTGTGTCATGGATCGCTTTGACATTGTGGTGAAGTTTATAGAACCCTTCTTAGGATGATGCTTTTAAATGCATAAAATAGCATATATAAGATTACAGAAGAAAGCAATTATACTGACATACTTAACAAAATATTTTCTAAAAGATTCACAGACCCCATAGTAAGAAGCCCTGGATTATCTAATTAGTAAATTCCCTTTCCAGGGCCTCAATATCCTATGATTCTAAATGGTATTGAATCTAATTTTAATATAAAACTGAGTGAGATAATATAAATGACAGCATCTTGCAACCAAAAATTGTTATATGACATTTTGGTGAAATGATAGACAAATCTTATTTAGATGATTAAACTAAAGTTCAGTGGCAACCTGGTTGGCTGAAATGCTCGTTAATGACTAAAGTAGAAAAAAAAATCTAGATTTTACACTTAATCCCCCAAATTGCCCAACAGAAATTCATCTCCAAATGTAACAATTAGTAAACAATTAGAGGAAAGAGAATCTTATATGTCTACAATTATTTGAGTTTTCACTTTTTACTTCCCATTTCATGCATTATAAATTTTGTAGAGTAATATTAGGCAATAATTCAGTTGGTATTAACTAACTACTTCTAATAATTATGTTTCTAGGGATGCTTTTGAGAAGAATCATCTTCACTGAGAAAGAAGTACTATATTTTACTTTACCAGGTGTTTTTTCAGTTGGTTTGGGGGCATAAGTGAATTAATAGACTGAAGCCAAGATAGAGATTTGGATCTCACTAGCTTTCAGTTACTGATCATAAAAGGGATGTTAATGTTATTCTTAATTTATAGCTGTATTTCTTATATTATGAAAAGCTCATTTGCAACTAAATCTAAAGAACAAAGATGACGGTTACCTCAGACCCAAAAATGGATCATTTAGCAGTTTGAAGTTTCTAACAATTTCACAAATGGGCATTTTATGCACAATTTGTCTTGATAACAGAATATGATGAATGGACATAATAATTTTATGGTATCACACATTTTTTAAGGATTAACTATTTTAACAACCAAGAAGCTTGATGCTTTCTTTTTCTTGATCAAGACTTCATCCTGCTTAATTGAGAGAAAACCGAGAATTTAGTATCTATCTCCTTTCTTCCACTCTCAGGGTCACCACACCAATGTCAGCATTATATCTCATTTGTACTATTATAATAACCTCCTAACTGGGCTCTTTGTTTCCATTCTTTTCTTTCTCTAACCCATCTTCCACACAGCTATCAAAACTACATTCTTCAAGAATTGATCAGGGGCAGCGAGGTGGCGCAGTGGATAGAGCACCGGCCCTGGAGTCAGGAGGACCTAAGTTCAAATATGCCCTCAGACACATCATACTTCCTAGCTGTGTGACTGTGGGCAAGTCACTTAACCCCAACTGCCTAACTAAAAACAAACAAACAAAAAAAAAGAACTGATCAGGACACATTACTCTCCCACTCTAGCATCTCCAATGGCTCCTTATTTTTACTGTTGTTCATTCATGTCTGACTTTGTGACCCCATTTGGGGTTTTCTTGGCAGAGATACTGGAGTGGCTTGCCATTTCCTTCTCCAGTTCATTTTATAGATGAGGAAACTGAGGCAAACAGGGTTAAGTGATTTACCCAGGGTCACACAGAGTAAGATTTGAACCCAGGAAGATGAATCTTCCTGATTCCAAACCCTATTTTATCTACTGTACTACCTACCTGCCCTGGCTCCCTATTGCCTCTGCACTAATATAGAAGTCTAGTCATTTAATGCTATAGGTCCATAGGTTTAAAATTTGAATGAACCTCCAAGATTATTTAGTCCAATCCCATTGTTTCTCATATGAAGAAACAGAGAAGTGAAGTGACTTGCCTAAGGACACACAGATAGCAAGTGACTGAACCTAGGTATGACTAAAGACAATTATCAATAAAACACTTACATATGAAGTCCAGATAAATTCTATAAATTATACACAGGAAAAATTGTATCCATTAGTATTATAGTAGTTAGAATTAAACAGGTAACAAAAAGTTATGTTGCATATTACAGGCATATTTTATTTTATTTATCCCAGTTTTATACCCACTTCCACAAGCCCTCAGGCTCTTCAATGATTAATTATATGGCTTGCCTACTATGTGAAAGAGCTATGACAATGAAGTGGTTTTAAAACTTTTGTCCAATTAAACTATAAACCCATATACCTTAAAGTCATTTCTTGAAGTTATTCTATGTTTATTTACATAAAGAGGAAGTAGGGAGGGGCATTTAACACATGAAAAAAGCAAAATGAAACCAAGGTAAGGATGAAGAAATAATTTTAGTCAAGCCTCACTTAACCAAATCTAGACTAAACTCTCAATGTTTAATTCTCATTCAAAATTCACTCACTTGTCTAAACCTCTAAGTAACCAACATACTCTCTTTCAAATGAACAAGGCTAATTTTATGTCCAGCCACAAAGTAATACCAAAATCCAGTAATTGTTTTAAAAAATAATCTAATTATAGGCCTGGACTAATCAAGTGTTTAAAATGCACATAACTTACATCCAAAGGTTGTAATCCAAAATTTATGAAATTTAGGAAATAAATATAGTAGAAACACTAAACATGTTTGTCTCCTAAAGAGACTACTAAAATCTCTGCTACAAGAAAACATTTAGTTATGTGGCACACAAATTGTTTAAAAATCACAAACAATTTGTAATTAAGTTGTTCATATTCCCCAACCTTGCCCTTAGCATTTTAATTTCAATAAATACTTTTGCTCTAAATTTCCATCCACGACTTGGTGTTTCCTTGAAGCACAAATGCTCCAGTAAGCAGGAAATATTTTCTTTTTAACGATTATGTAACTTCCTTTTCTAAACAATGCTACTACAAGCTAATATCTTAGTGACTTTAAATCAAAATTACCGCAACTGCAAAAAAAATAGGAATGAGACTACTAAACATTCATTTTCAGCAAGGAATGGACATTTTATATCTCAACTTCCAGAGAAAAGCAACTCAGGAATGACTTATCACAGCAACTATAAAACACCAGCTACTTCACGTTAATCCAAAGCAAATACTTGAGTTTCACACCGTTGTTAAATACAATTATGCCGTCCTACTCAAAAAACTTTAAAAAAAAAAAGCACCGGCTGGGGTACGAGCTAAAGAGGTGCAAAGTGTTCGAACTTTGATCAATCTTCCTAATTCTCTCCCACCCCACTGGGGAGAGAAAGCATCAAACACAAGCCTGTGACAGGGGATGAATTCCCCTCAGCTACCAGGGAAAGAAACAACAGCAAGCTCTGTCTAGGGGGGAAAAGTCTTTCTACAAAGACTTCGACAGCACCGCCACCCTCCTCCCCGCAAAAGAAGAACACAACTCAGAACGATCTCTCCACCACCCCCTCAACTCCATTCATTTGCTTCTCATTTCCATTCCACGGGTTACTTTTTGGGTAACCAAAAGAGCTGTTGAAATAGATTTCCAATGCTAGGGGGTAGGGTGGGGTGGGGTGGGGTGAGAGGTGTGGGTGCTCTGAAGTTGTCAGTTCTATCAGAAATAATTTTTAAAAGAAACACCTACATGTTTTCCATTGCAGAGGAGATTTAACAAAGTAATCCACAATCAAGATGGGGTCTGCGTCCCCCCCCCCACAAAAAAAAAGATTATTCTCCCGGACACCTTTCAAAAAAAAAAATCCGGCAAACGTTATCTTCACTGCGGCAGAAGATGCACCAGCGACCGCGACCTGCAGAGAGTCAAACGCAGCCCCACGCGGCTCCAGAAGTAGCAGCAGCCGGAGGATGAACTGGGGCTTTTTAATAACCTATGAAACGCAAGGCTTGGGCCCACCCCCTAGCCTGTCCTACTTTGCAGGAGACTTGCGGCATGCGGGCTGCTTGCTCCCTTCGGAGAGCAAAGGTCTGGAGGCGGGAGAGAGCCAAAATAGAGGAATGAGGGAAGGAGGTGGGAAGAGTCCGGTGAAATCTGCACACTGAACAACGCACCCTGGAGTCTTGAGGAATCAAGAGCCACCCCGAGAAAGAGGGGAACTGGGGGAGGGCCGGCGCGTCGAGCAGGGAGCAACTCCCCGCTCAGGCTCGGTTCTCAAGGGTCCTCCCGGAAAAGGGACGAAAGACGGACGTGCAGAGCGAGCAAGGCTGCCCTCGCTCTAATGCGCAGCGCATCTTCACCTCTCCTGCTGAACGATCTGGGCCTCCTGGCGCTCGCACTCGCGCTCCGGCTCGGGCTCGCGCTCCTCCTCCCGCCTAGGTTCCATCTTGCCTGAGGGCTCCAGCGCCTTGCACTCAGCTCTGCACGCCCGCTCCCAGTAACCGCACCCCCTAAGGACCTGACACTTCTTCACCCAGGCTCCGCTCGCATCGGACCGGCTGGTGGGCCAGAGAGCCAGCAAGCCCAGGCAGCTGCCCAGCCCCCGGAGCCTCAACATAGCATAGCAGCCGTGGCTGCACCTCACCACGACTCTGATTGCTCCTTGCTCCTTGCTCCTTATTCACCCCTGCCGATTGTGACCTTTGTGTCCGCATACCTGGACCTTTACCAAGATGGCCGCTCACGCTGTTTTCCAGCTGCCGAAGCCATCTTGGTAAAGGGGGCTGTCAGTCTATGACCCCCTTATATGGCAAACATTCTACAGTCTTTTGGACAACAGCTGCTGCCACCCAGGCCACCTGTACACCTGCTTTGCTGTTACTTAACGATTGGGACTGCCTCCCACAGAGTCCCAGGGCACTCTAAGTCATCTCCTTTCAGATATAAAAGCAGGATTACTTTGATATTAACTAATTATTAGCTAATAAATAAGATTATCAATCAGATCTGGAAAGGCCCTTTAGAAATCATCCAGTCCAATCTCTTTTTTCATATGAAGAAACTGAGCCCTAGAGAGGCTAAGTGACATACCACAGGTACTTAGTGGATGAGCCAGCATGTGAATGAACTGTGCCATTACCTTCCTGAGAAATTCGCATTATTATTAATACTTAGGTAGACTGACTTCATCAAAGTGGGCATTTCCTCTATCAACGCAAATCAAATGGCTTCCAGATCTATTTTACCTAAATATAGATTCTCTTAGCCGGGAGCTAAGCAGTTAACATCTTCAACTTAGACCAGTTTAATAGTCCTTTAAAATGTGGTGGCAGCTATGCCATAACCCCAGTTGGAAAGAAGAGATATTTCAGTCTGAAGTTTGTGGAGCTCGTGGTGTGAAGTAGATATTAAATATTAATGGCAACAATGTTATTACTCTGGAAATGTTCTACCATTTTAAATAGATGTTGCAACCTCCCAGATCATACAGTTCTTATTTAAATTAATATCTTATTTTTTCTCCTATGTTGTTGAAGCTACAAGGCTGCGCTGTGGCTCTGTGAAATTCCCTTAAAGGACATAAGTTTAAAATTGCCAGAATTGGACTGAACAGCATCTGTGATCCCAGAGGATAATGATAGCTGACATTTATTTATGTTGCACCTTAAATAATACATTTACATTACCTAATTTAATCCTCACAACAACCCTGTCTGTTATTATCTCTATTTTTACAAATGAAGAAACTGGACAGGAGAGTTTGAGGGCTACCTTAATTGTCCGAGGCTGAATCTCGGCTGTAGGTCCTGGCTCTTTCCACCTGCCAACTTTGCTTTCCTTGCCTGAGGCCAAGTGTCTCAAGCGAGGGCAGAGAAGTGTTAGGTTATGGCAGGAAATACAGATACAAAATATAGAGATAACGTCAGGAAGCTGTAAGCCAGTCTGCTTTGTACGTAAAGTAAATATACTTTTCAGTAGTAAAAGCTAGATTTTCCTTATTGTTTGCCCTAATAAGGTTAGTGTCAAGCCCAGGCCTGTCACTTATTACTTGTGTGCCCTTGGACAAATCATTTAATCTCTCTGAGTCTCAGTTTCCTAATCTGGAAAATAAAGGGTTTTGGAATGGATGGTTTATAAATTTCCTTCCAGCTATAAATTTATGATCCTATGATTCCCTAGGCTAGAACTTCACTAATAGCTGGGTATTACTTAACTTATAGTATGCTAAACCCAGGCTGAGTGTGAGTGGAGCTAAGAACTTGCCATCTTGCCACAGGCTCGGAAAGTAATCACAGCACCAGAAATAAAAACTAGATTACTGTTAATGATCATTCACGAACTTTTGAAAAGACACAAATACCCACCACCACTCCAAAAAAGGGGGCAATCTCTAATGAACACAGGCTGACTTTCACACTTATTCCTACCTAACATCACATGCTAGGACAGACTTGTCAAACACTGTGCTCAGTCTGGGCATTAGGAGAGCAGGTGCTTATAAATAAATAAATGGAAAAACCTTAGAAAGAATAGTCTTCCAATTCAGCATTAAAACAAAACTGATTACATAATAAATAGATGCCCAGGGTGGTAAAGTAGATAAAGGGCCTACCCAGAAGTTAGAAAGACTTAGGTTTGTGTCTTGCTTTTCTCCCATAGTATCTGTCGTCACCATGGAAAAGTTTTGTTCATTTTGTTTTAACCTCTAAGTAACTCAGACAGCTTTTAATTCATGTGTTGTTGTTCAGTCATGGCCAACTCTTGTGACCCCATTTATGGTTTTCTTTGCCAAGATACTGAAGTGGTTTGCCATTTCCTTCTCCAGCTCATTTTATAGATGAAGAACTGAGGCAAACAGGGTTAAGTGACTTGTCCAGGGTCACAGCAAGTAAGTGTCTGAGGCCAGATTTGAACTCAGGAAGATGAGTCTTCTTGACTCCAGGCCCAGCACTTTATTCTCTTCAACACCTAGCTGCCCATTCTGATTTATAGAATCATAGATTTGGAGCTGGAAGACTCCAGAGATTATCTAGTCATCTGAGAGTCTGGTAGTGGAAAACACAGTGAGCTAGGTAGCAGCCAGAAGTAGTTTCTTCTAGTGGAAAGGCTACTGAGCTGGAAAGTAAAAAGACCTGGTTCTAGACTTGGCCCTATTTCTAATCAGCTGTGTGATCTCAGACAGATCATTCAACTTCTCTGAATTTCAGCTTCCTCATTTTACAAGTAAGAAAACTGAGCCCCAGATGACCTAAGTGAATCACCATAGTCACCCCTACAAGTTAAGTGACAAAGAAAGGATCTAACTAAACCCAGGTTCTCTGACCCCAAAACCAGTGTGTTTACCAGTAGCTTCTCAAACTCCATTAGAACTCTAAATTACAGACAAGTTGCCAATCTGCTTTAGTTCATGGGTGCTTCAACTAGATGGAAAGTTCCCCATAGAGATGAAATCACAGAACTGGACTAAAAGGGAAAAAAAAAAGTAATAAATGACCATGACATGATGTATACACTTTCCTACACTCCCTGAATAAAAGACCACAGAATTTCTAACCCACACAGCCTATCTACAGAAAAAAAAGGGGGGGGAAGCTTAGGAGTTCTGTTCTGCAGACAATGAAAAGGCATTGTTCTGTGTTACCATTTATATCACCCCCCTATACAAATCGTCTAGCAAGCCCCATTGCATGGTACAGCTTGTACAATGCACTCTCTGCATTTTATTCATGACTGTTTCAGATTGTCACTTGGCTGAATTGGGCCTTGTTTATCCTTTTGTTCCATTCTACAGCTAGCGCACACACTTACCCAGTCCATTAGAAATAATGATTTTTACTTTTCTCTCCCTTCAAAATATTACTTACTTTGAAATGTCTTCCACCAGAAAGGAAAAGATAGAAGTTATACTCCAACAATCTTCTAGGAGTGGTTAGTCACAAATAGGAATAATTTTTTTTGAGAATAGTAATAAATAATGTTAATAAAGCACCAGGCAAGATATTAGTTATTACCGAAATAGTGCATAATTGTAACTTCAGAGGAATTTCATTAAAAGAATGCTGACTGAAGAACTCATATCTTTAGAGAAGTGAGGTCTTTGCCTTCCCTAGGGCTCTTGGCTCAGGAATTTCCATTAAATATGTTATTTATCCCCAGACCAATGAGTGATTGAAACATTTTGATTATCCTTAAAGTTTTATAGATTACTTACGCGCAGAAGCAGTCTAGGAGTTGAAAATACAGTAGCTAGCAACCGGAAAGTAGTTTCTTCTAGTGCAAAACCTCGTGAACTGGAAAGTAAAAGGACCTGGTTCTAGACCTGGCCCTGTTTCTAATCAGCTGTGTGATCTCAGACAGATCATTCACCTTCCCTGAGTTTCAGCTTTCTTATTTATAAAAATGAGAGGGTTGGACAGGAGGTCTTAACCTTTTTTATACAATGGATGCTTTTAGTAGTCTGATGAAGCCCGTGGACCCTTTCTCAGAATAATATTTTTAAATGAATAAAATAAATTTAAAAAAAAACAGGATTACAAAGGAAGTCAATTATATTGAAATAATGATGTAATTTTTTTTTCTCATCCAAGTTCATGTGTCCCTTGAAATTTCTCCATGGACCCCACCCTCAGATACTCCAGGTTAAGAATCCCAGGACTAGAATGATATCTAAAGGCTCTTCCAGCCTTCAAATTTGCTAAGTACCTAACAAGTTTAGAAAAAGCAGAACTATGCTGGCTACCTTTTTATTACCAGTTTTAGCTTCTGACAACAAAGGACAACAAAAACAGCTTTTTAAAGTATGTCTTAGGCAGGAAAGTTAGAATTCAAGAAATACAGCACAGGACTCACAGATGTGTAAATAGGATCCAATTTTCAATATTAATGTGTCCTTCAGGAAAGGCATTATTAAAGTAATACTTTACCAGCCCAACTACCTAATTAATTAATAGTTGGAGAGAGGTGTCCTGAAGAGTCTGCTCCTTGTCATCTTTTTTTTTTAAAGGCAATTGGGGTTAAGTGACTTGCCCAGGGTCACACAGCTAGTAAGTATCAAGTATTTGGTCTGAGGTCACATTTGAACTCAGGTTCTCCTGATTTCAGGGCTATGCTCTATCCACTGCACCACCTAGCCACCCCATGCCCCTTGTCATCTTAAAAGAGAGCAACAACA